ACTGAATCCAAAAGGGCTTTTAGGGAGTACAGTGATACAAGGCAGCATCTGGTCTGAGATCAGGTGAATAATCAACTCAAGTGTTCGTTCCTCAGAGCCCATACTGGAGGGGGGATGGGGGGCAGGCATGGGAGGTAAAGGTCTGTGTTAGGATGAAAAGTGACAAGAGAGACGGCGCTGCTGAGAACCACAGAGCAGCTGTCCCAAGGAGCAGTTGTGCCGCACCCATGAGTTGATCTTTCGGCTCAGGGCACTTCACACACCCTGTTTTTCCAGCAAGCAAAGAGACACACAATACATCTGGGCTCAGGCAAGAACAGGAAGGTGTTTATTCAGCTGTGATGCTCACAGTGCGAGCACTGCATTCATTTTACATAAGAAAAGTGAGACAAGGAGCAGAATAAAGAAAACAATGTAAAAAACAGAATCCAACCGGGGGTGAATGTATCTGAGGTTTGGTTTTGGATCATGCCTTCCCAGCAGTCAGTCTGGCGCTGATCCCTAGCGTGACGTGGATGGGAAATGTCTCTGCGGTAACAAGAGGCAGGGGTGTTTATGTATTCCACTTTGAAGGTGGTTTGGGATAAACATTTTCTGGTAGCCCTGACCTTTTTTTAATCAGCCCCATCAACTGGGACTACAGGTATAAAAGCAGAAACCCTGCCAACATTATCCACCATTTCCTGATGGGTCAAGAGTGCAAGCGGACATCTCCCCAGAGGGGCTGCACTCTTCAGTTGAGCTTCCCAGGTCTGCTACGCCCAAAACCATGGGAGCAGCAATCCAGATCTGCTGAGAGGCACAGAGGGGCACCCAGTGACAGCAGCGGGATTTCCTTGTGAACGGGAAGAGGGCAGGTATTGTCTAATGGGATCTGAGAGAGAGTTTGGAAGAAAGGGCACCATTGGTAACCCCAGTAGAGCTTTGCACAGAGGGAGGTTTGGTGTCTCGTTGGAGAAGCTTGAGCAGGTTCTTCAGGGCATCATGGGTTTTTTTCCTGGCCCGATCACAGTCCAGCCTTGATATAGACAAAGCTGGCCAAGATCGCCATGGCCAGCACCGAGTAGCTGACTTTCACGCTGGTGGCCCCACTGGTGTTGCACAAGAAAGAACTGCAGCAGGAAACAGAGGCGGCTGCTATCCCTATGTTTATCCCACCGCTGGGGCAAACTGAAGCACACCCCTTGTTGATGCTCTGCCCGGAATGTCCACCTGAATCAGAAAAACAAACAAGAGAAAGAGACTCAAGATTAAAATGTTGCCCAGAGTTCGGACAGGAGATCCTTAGCTCTGCAAAGGAGATAATTGTACTGATGTAGCTAAGCAATCCTGAGAGGAGGAGGCTATTTCTCAGCAGTTAATAGCCTCACAGCCTTAGCTCTGCCAGTGAATGCCCAGCCTTTAGAAGTCACTACTGCTATTATATACCATGAAAAAAGCACTAGTCTCTTCCTAGCAGTTACAGACCCGTATGTAACCATCTGGGAACATCCTCTTCAGATTCCTGGCCAGGAAGTGGGAACAGCCAAAGAGAACCCTGAGAATCTATTCCAGATTGTCACACTCTGCCCATTGCATGCTGGGACAGGGCTTTGGGAGTTCAGGGAGGGCTGTGGGGATGCAGCACAGAGGGGACTGGGTCCTGTCTCCTGCTGTTGAGCCTCGGAGCTTGAAAGAGCTGGTAGTAGTCAGGTCACAGCACAGCTCATTAAGCAGCAGACACCAATATACCCCAAAAGGCTTCAACCCGGCCTCCTTTTGTGCAGGCACAACCAGCCAGGCACTGGGATTGGAGCGTGTGAATTCTCTCACTTGCACATGCCAATAGTGGAACCTTGCACAGGCACATCAGACGTTTGGTGCTTAAATCATTGCATGGCTGGAGAGCAGCTGCAGGACTGGGCTACAAAGAAACTCATTTCAGGACTTCAGACAACACTGGAGGGGTAGATATAGAGCCCCCCATTGGTGTACAAGAAGCCTTCGGTGCATCCGAAGAAGTGAGGTTTTTACCCACGAAAGCTTATGCCCAAATAAATCTGTTAGTCTTTAAGGTGCCACCAGACTCCTTGTTGTTTTTGTAGATACAGACTAACACGGCTACCCCCTGATACAAGAAGCCTGACATTGTCTGCACCGCCCTCCTATCAGTCATTCACTCCTGTGCAAACCTCACTAATGAGCAAAGGGGCTCCCGCTACCTTGGCGTGTCCCAGCAAAAGTCTCCTGCCATTCGGTTTCAAGGAGTGATTCCCCAATTCCACATCAGCCATGTCTCATCCTTCCAGCAGAAGGAGGAAGGAAAACCGAGTGATCTGGAACGGGAGCAGCACGTCATCTGGGAAAGTGCTATAGAAAGATAATAGGCAGAACATGCCCAAACTTACCAATTCCTGCACCAACATACGTGGTCACACAGTAGTTTTCATCACTTTGACATATAGTTGATCCCAGACACTCCCAGTTGGAGGATGCATCCTTACAGGTAAAGCACACCAGTGAGTGAGCTGCAAAAGGAAAACACACCCCATGTTAGAGGCTTGCAGGAATATGTTATTTGTTCCTGGTTTACAATGTGCCTTTGTTGCCAAGAAGGCCAACGTCATATTGGGCTGCATTAATAGGAGCATTGCCAGCAGATCGAGGGAAGTGATTATACCACACTATTTGGCACTGTTGAGGCCACACCTGGAGTATTGCGTCCAGTTTTGGTCCCTCCACTACAGAAGGGATGTGGACAAATTGGAAGAGTCCAGCGGAGGACAACGAAAATGATTAGGGGGCTGGGGCACATGACTTAGGAGGAGAGGCTGAGGGAACTGGGGTTATTTAGTCTGCAGAAGAGAAGAGTGAGGGAGGATTTTATAGCAGCTTTCAATTACCTGAAGGGGGGTTCCAAAGAGGATGGAGCTAGGCTATTCTCAGTGGTGGCAGATGACAGAACAAGGATCAATGGTCTCAAGTTGCAGTGAGGGAGGTCTATGTTGGATATTAGGAAACATTATTTCACTAGGAGGGTGGTGAAGCACTGGAATGGGTTACCTAGGGAGGTGGTGAAATCTCCATCCTTAGAGGTTTTTAAGGACCGGCTTGACAAAGCCCTGGCTGGGATGATTTAGTTGGGGATTGGTCCTGCTTTGAGCAGCGGGTTCGACTAGATGACCTCCTGAGGTCTCTTCCAACCCTAATCTTCTAGGATTCTAATCTCCATCTCTGTCACCTGCTGCAAATGAATATCAAAATGGACCATATTCTGATGTTCTCAGCTGGTATTTCAGGCCAAACTCTCGTTAAAGCCAGACTTCACGATTGGATCCAAAACACAGAGGAGCAAATTTTCGAAGGCAGAAATGGCTGCTGGGCATCCAACTGCTATTTATGCCTCTGAAAAGTTCCCCCAACACCCTCTGTGACACCAATTTGTAAATAATTTCTCAGCATGTTCCATTCCACAGCCATAATGTTACAGATAGAGTAATAGGGTTATAAAAAAAAAAAAAAAAACATGGACTTCTCAAGAAAACATCATGCCAAACCAGCCTACTTTCCTTCTTTGATAACTAACCTAGTGGATAGGGGGAAAGCAGTAGGTGTGATATAGTTTGATTTTGACACAGTCCCATATGACATTCTCATAAGCAAAGTAAAGGCAGGTGTTCTAAATTAAATTACTATAAGGCGGTTGCACAACTGATTGCAAGACTGTTATCAATGGTTCAGTGTCAAACTGGGAAGGCAAATCCTGTGGGGTCCCACAGGAGCCAGTACTGGGTCCGATTTTGTCCAAGATCTTCATTAATAATTTGAGTGATGGAGTGGAGAGTATGCTTATCACATTTGCAGATGATGCCAAGCTGGGAGGAGTTGCAAGCACTTTGGAGGGCAGGATTAGAATTCAAAATGACCTTGACAAATTACACAATTGGTCTGAAATTCACAAAGTGAAATTCAAGGAAGTTAAGTGCAAAGTACTACAGTTCAGAAGGAAAAATCAAATGCACAGCTACAAAATAGGGAACAATAGGTGCTAGTACTGCTGAAAAAGAGCTGAGGGTTATAGTAGATCACAGATTGCATATGAGTCAACAATGTGATACAGTTTCAAAAAGCCTAATATCATTCTCGAGTGTAGTAACAGGAGTGGTGTATGTAAGACAGAGGAGGAAATTGTCCTGTTCTATTTGGCACTGGTGAGGCCTCAGCTGGAGTACTGTGTCCAGTTCTGGTCACCAAAAGAGGTGGACAAATTAGAGAGAGTCCAGAGGGGAGCAACAAAAAGTTTAGAAAACCTGAACTGTGAGGCTTCCAAGGGAAGTTGTGGAATCCCAGTCATTGGAGGTTTTTAAGAACAAGTTGGACAAACACCTGTCAGGGATGGTCTAGGTTTACTTGGTCCTGCTTCAGCATAGGGCGCTGGACTTGATGACCTCTTGAGCTCTCATCAACATGACATTTCTGTGATTCTATGACACTAGCTAAGGGAGCGAGCATGCCTCCCTCTACAGGTCTTCCAAACAATTTCAACAACCTCCTTCTTATAGCTACAAGCATTGTCCTTTAGTTTGAGTGATACAGGCCTACAGTTTGGAGTTCAAGACCCTATGTTCAGTCCCCTCTGATTACCATGTCTGTATTATGTAGTCACTGTTACATACAGAAGACGTGCCATCCCAGATCAGACCATATGTTCCAGTTGTGCAGCATCCTCCCTTCTGCATTGATCATTGCCTGATGCTTCATAGGAAGGCACAAAAATCCACAGTGCACCGGGGCTAATATGCATGGGGGAAACAACTCCTACCTGGCTCGAGCTGGTCCAATATTTTATAAGGACTAATTTGCAAAGAGACAGGTGCCAATGGATGGTGGGTGGCACTCGAGATATGAGCTCACGCTGGCTCTGACAAATGAAATGCGAATGACACGATGTGTTATTTATAGATGGGTATCACATGGAAGACCAGAGAATTCATTCTGACTTGCCAAAGAAGCTTGGTTATTATTATTATTACAGTGTCAGAAGCATGCTAGATGCTTCATAGAAACAAATAGAGAGGCACGGTGCATTTCCTAGAGCAATGGTGGGCAACATGCGGCCCACGGGCAGCACGCGGCCCGTCACGGTAATCTGCTAGTGGGCCACCAGACAGTTTGTTTACATTTGCACGGCTGCCCACAGCTCCCAGTGGCTGTGGTTCACCATTCCCAGCCAATGGGAGCTGCGGGAAGCAGGGATGTGCTGGCCACCGCTTCTTGCAGCTCCCATTGGCTGGGAACAGCGAACTGCAGCCACTGGGACCTGCAGGCAGCCATGCAAATGTAAACAAATTGTCTGGTGGCCCGCCAGTGGATTACCCTGACTGGCCGTGGGTTGCCCACCACTGTCCTAGAGAGTTTATAGCGCAAATTGGACAGGAAGTGATGCGTGAAGGTGACAAAGAGAAGGAGGGGATGGGTTAAGGAAAAACAAGATCTAAAGCATTAAGTTCATCCCAGGGCTTGATTTCGCCACTTTTATGCAACAATCCCTCCACCTCCATGGGTCACCAGCAGAGTTTGAACTCAGGCCTTTCAGCAACACAACACAGACCTTGACCACTGGTAGGGAAGGAATAACTCCAATTAGAAGCAGTAGTGGGCTGTTATCCTCTGCGGCCCAGACACTAGAAGAGGATGCAACTCATTTTACAAGCAGTTACTTCACTTACACTGGGACGTGCCTTACTCACACGACTCAAGTGGGGCCAGGTGGGGACTCAAGTGCTCTTTCAACTGCTAATCATTTTTTAAAGTTAGCAGCTAACCTAGCAAAGGTGGGGAGCAGAGAACCTCTTCTCCAGTTCTCCCAGCACAACCACCTAGCAGTGGGCAGGGCACACTCCGATCTTGGCTTTGGCTACAACACCCACTAACACCCCACAGTTCCAGTGAGAGCGGAGGCACGATTACGCCACTGGCCCCACAGCATACATGCCATAGACGGTGAACACCGGGCTCTCCCCCACCAGTCACCTTGATCTAGCCTGCTCTCTGTGACGCTGCACCCCATATTCTTCATAGAGATTTGATATGATTATGGCATAATTATGATATATTTTGTGCAAGATAAGTCATGTGAGATATCATTGGAAAGGTTATAATTTACTGAATATGATTATCCTATTTGTATGCATTTATCATTTTTGTATCTTAAGTTAGGAATATTGATTATGTATCTGTATTACAAATGTGTTTATGCCTGGGGAACGCCCACTAGAACAGCTGGGTGGGGAAGGGCCTTTGGAGAAAACAATAGTTCTTAGAAGAGGCTCATCTCCCACCTGGAGACCTTCCTGAAGACGCTGCAGACAACCTCCCACTCATGGCTGCTATGACACCACAGGGACATGTGACCAAGTCACCTGATGCTGGACTCCATCTTGGGATATGTTAAGGAAAATTAGCTTAAGCAACTGCTTCTTATGGTTTAAGGCTATTATCAGTTACAAGTAGATACAGCATGTACCAGGACCCAGGGCGGGGAAAGAAGGGAGACATCTGGAAACAGAGATAAGGAATGCCAAGAATTGCCTTCTGTGGTAAGTTGCAGACCTAAGGCCCTCCTGAGGAAAGAAATTCCTAGCACATTGCTACACTGGTCAGCACGGGGAGAGTGTCCAGCGGGAATAGGTGGTAAATAAAAAATATGTTTGTACATTGGCTAAAACTTACGTTGCACAAGGCTTGCATGCCTTTCGTTTTGTATATAGCTTGGCTGTAAACAATGTATGGGGTCCCTCCTCACTAGTAGGACGGTCCCACGCCCGGGCGCAATAAACTTTGGCTTGGCTGTGTAATACTCTGCAGTGGTAAGTTTGTGTTACGTGCCTCGGCCTAGAACGAACTGTATGTGTCTTAAAGGTATAATTCGTAACAGATATCAGTGTTTTTCCACAGACTGGCGTGGGAACCAAGCTTTCAGACAAAGGGTTCCCGCCATATGCAAAAGCTATTTAAGGCAGGGGAGTGACATCACTGAGGTTCTTCACTGACTCCACACCCAAAGAGACTCCTGGAAATACCCGAGGAACAAAGACTGAACTGGGGGAAGTGCTGGACCCAGGCTAAAGGGATTTTTAGCCTATGAATGGAACACCTGGGGATTCCAAGCTGTAAGAAAGTGCAGCTTGTCCCTTAAGAATCTTCAGCCTGCTTTTATCATCACTTAGGGTGAGGATCTGCTGTTCATATTTAGTATATTAAGCTTAGATTGCATTTTTGTTTATTTGCTAGGTAATCTGCTTTGATCCATTTGCTATACCTTATAATCACTTAAAATCTATCCTTTGTAGTTAATAAACTTGTTTTTGCTTTGTCTAAAAACAGGGTGAGGGAGTCATAACTTGGGACAGACAGTTGTTGTATACTCCTCTCCGCATTGAGGGAGGGGGTGAATTTCATGAGCTAATGCTGTACAGTTCCCTGTGCAGCGCAAGACGGAATAGTTTTCAGTTTACACTCCAGAGGGGGTTGCCTGCCTGAGTATCTGGCCAGTTCCTTACCTGGAGCCTTCCCATGCAGAGTTGATCGCAGCGTCTGCATGTAACTGCAGCTGGGTGTGTCCCCACCTGTGTGTGTGCTGGAGAATGTGCAGACTGGAGCCTAGGAGAGGGCTTGGCAGGCTGGTCACAGCAGTACAGTGTAAAGGGAGCCCAGGCTGGCAGGTCAGTGGTCAATGGTGTGACGGGCTGGATCATAGAAACCCCCTTAGGAGCTGCCACCCGATGTGCCAAGAT